CGAGGCTGTGCAGACAAAAACACTGGGGGTTCCAAGGATTGATTCTTCAGACCGTCTATTGAAGAGTTTCAGGGGATGTAGAAGGAGGGAAATATGGTTAAAAAGAGAGTTGTCTCTAGCTGCTTAGGTTAGTAGGTATGACCACCTACCTTACCTAAAAGTAGGTGGGTTATGTACGAATCGTGGACACTGAGGACCCCCCAAGTCTGAAACAGCCAGCTTCCATTGATACACACGCTGAATCAAAAAGCTGCCCTGAGGTGAGTTCCTCCGCAAAATGACGGAATACCTAAGGAACCGCACTGAAGTCCCTTGTAACCCACCCGCTATGACGCCCGTTAGTGGGTCATAAATTGCAACGTCCTGTCGGGTGTCCCGTACCTAGAGACCAGGGTGTTTCTCTGTCCTATCATCCAAATCGATCATTCGTAGCTTCGTATATTCGTAGGGCTACGAAGCAGGAGGCATACACCAAGGCTCAAGCTAGCCCATTAGTTAACTCGAGCCAAGGAAAGCTTGTCAATGGATTGTCAAAGATGGCGCCATAGATGAATGTAATCACAATGACTCACCTCATATGAATCACATTGTTTCATTACACGAGTCCTGAAAGATCATTCGTTGTACACAGACGGTATTGATTCCTATGTATCTGATATTCAACTAAAAATGGCCGATTACAACTACAACATAGATATCAAAGTTATGACTACACTAAACCCGGCAGTCTAAACCAAAGGGCCTTTCCTCGGCTCATATTGCCGTCTGTAACTCACTTCCGCTTCTTGGCCTTGCCAGTATCCGCGCTACTGGTCTTGGCTTCGGCCTTGACATCCTCGACCAGTACGTCCTTGGCCTTCTCCTTAGCCTCTTTGTCGTCAACAGCCTCGTCCTCTCCACCCTGGCCAAACTCGTTGACTCGGCTGTAATCGATGCGGTAAGCCCATCGTTGGTAAAGATACACGAAGAAGATAACATCGTCGCGAAGAGTGGCCAAACGGTGCAAGAAAGGCATCTTGATGGTAAAGGCAAACAGATCGTCGATGAAGGTATTGAGAAACTTGTACATCATGGCCTTGGCAGGCATATGGGCGACACTCTTCAGCCGGTAGTTGATATACAGTGAGGGAACCATCATCAAGAAGCCGTAAGCGTAGACAGATCCCACCAAAGTAGTGATGATGTAGGAATACCAAGACTTGTGGGAGTCATAATAGAGAGAGTAAATGCCATATGCGATCAGCAGAGGAATGCCAGCAATGTACATGTACTTGAAAGCAATCTCATCGTACTCCTTAGTCTTCTCTTCAGTCTCGGTCAACTTTTGCTTGTCCTCGAATGCGATAGTGTAAGGGAGGACAGATCCTGGTCCACCAGGACGAATGCGAACGTTGACAACAGTGGTGATCTTCCAGAACTCAATGACGATACCAACGACTTGGGATCCCAGAATCATCCAGCTAGTGTTCTGAGAGTTGTCGAGGAGGTACAGGAAGATGACCGTTTGCATGAAAACATTGGCCAAGATCGAACGAACTGAGATACCAACGTTGTCCTTCTTCTTGCGGTAGTGGGCAATATCGGACCCGAACGCGAGAGTCTCGAGAATCATGTGCAAGATACTGACTACAATGGTGACGCCGAGCAAGATTGGGTTAGAGTCGAGGAATACCTCCTTGATCATCTCGATCTCGGTGCCGTCACCGCCACCAGGGAGCGAGCCACCAAATGCTGCCTGTCGAGCAGACTCCTTGGAGTTGGTCTCAAGCGTAGACATGAGCTGGAACTGCCAGCTGGCCAGGTTACCAAGATCGATACGCAGGGGAAGTTCCTTGACGGTGTCGTTGAGGAGAGTCATCTGGTTTGTCAATTGCCAAAAAGTGTTGACGAACAGAACAGGGTCTATCAATGTTAGTTGCCATGTCATTGGCATATAAGTTGTTGCTACTTACAGTACCAGGCGTGTTGACCAGAGCCGTCTCGAGCACCAGTAGCCTCAAGGCGCAAGTATTGTCGCATCTGAGGGGCCATCGTGGCGAAATCCTTGACACCCAGGTCAGGAACGAAGGACAAGCTTGCATTAGGATGATAGTAGTTCGCAATAATAGGTCCAGTGGGTTCCTCCTCTTCCGGTTCCTCCTCATGCTTGGGGATATCCTCGAGCAAGTTTCGTGTCTTCGCAACCTTCTTCTTGGGAAGGTATTGTGTTAGAGGCCAAGTGAAGTAGTAGGCTTTGGACGTATCATATCCGGGCTGCTTAGGATCGAGATTACTTCCAGGAAGGCCAATGTAGAAATGGCCCCAGAGGGTACCATTATGCTGGACAGCTGGAGGAACCGTGAACCTGGTCTCAATCGTTCGCTTATCGGACTTATTGCTAAGATGGAACTCCTTCTCTTGCAAAACGAGATATTCGTCGGGAACTTGCGAGATAGGCGCTGGGTTGAACGACTGGGAGAGCGTTACGATAATATCGACGTGGCTATCCTGAGGCCAGATGGGCGCAATGTTCTTTGGAATATTGCGGTATGTCGCACCCTCGTTGAGTTCCTTCGGGCGAAGTTGGAAAGGAGGGATACCCTCGACATTCCCAGGAACTGTAACGGCTTCACCAGTCTCGGGATTGGTGACTGTAACCCCTCGTTGGTCCTTTTTCAAGGCCAAGTTGAGGGCCGCATTGATGCCAAAGTAGATGGCGCCGCCGAGGAGAAGCTTGTTGAAGCTAAAACCCTACATAGAATCGATGTTAGTGTATGGTCATGATGTGAAACTTGCTTTGCGATGACTTACACTACCACCGCCACCTTGCTGCTGCTCGCCTTGACGAGGAGGCAAGACTTGAGCTTCTGCCATCGCGTCTGCTTCGATTCAATTGCAGAGAATAGCAGACGTTGTGCAATGGGTTGAAGAAGACCTGCAGGATACCGCCTTGATACTAAGAGTCAAGGTTGTTGGTTGATGCACCTGAGGCGACGTGTTTGGTTGGTCAGAGTTCTGAGACCAAGGATGGAAATTGGAAATCCCCTCGCAGTCCACTTCAGGCTCCATGATAGTTGACGTTGACGTGCTGTGGACACGAACGAATAGCGATTGGCCACCTGAACACGTACCCCTGTACCTTCTAGTTCTACTGCGGCGGCCGTTGTCGGCTCGGAGATTGGCCACGTTTGTCCACTAAAAGAGTTTAAGATACAGTGCATCATGGGGAGATCACGGCCCCGCCATTGAACGCATCAATGATGTTCAAGACAATGCTCACGATGCGAGATTCAAGCTAACTACCTAAGCCATGCTCGGGATCGCCCTATCCTGCTAGAACACGCCTCACGTCCGGTGACCAGCTGACCTCAGTCATCAATGGCATTGTCCAGTAACATATCTCGGAAGTGGCAGTTTGTAGTGGCACAACTTACATGAATGCATGGAGCACGGCCGCAAGCAGCCCCTCGAAGACGTGGCTCCCGTCGCTCCATATCAATAGCCCGATAGGCCATTGACAGATGTTTGTGTTGGTCAACTACCTAAACTACCTAGTTCCTGGGCTATTCATATGACTACTATATAAACTCGTAAACTTTCATTCTCTTGACTCTTTCTTGTTTCTATTTTCCTTGTTGAATCACGATTTATGCTCCAAAGTTTGACTCATCTGGGATATTCTTAGTTCGAGTTGAATTCTTCTGGGTCGCCACATAAGACTCACCGAAACAAGAGTTCTATTATTAACCGCCTCCGTCATTGTTCGCATCTTATTATATAATAAATAGTCCTCCTCCATACGAACTCAAGTCTTTTTCAACTCTTTTAGTCAAGTCCTCTCAAAGACAACCTCTTTATATATATACTATATCACACAACCTACAGTCTTTACAATACAACAAATCAGCAAACAACTCCATCATGACTGCTGACAGCACCATCCCATCACAGGCAGCCGTTGCCTCACAGAACGGCCATCCTCGAACCAAGATTTGCGTCTACTGTGGTGCTGCTCCTGGCGCGAGTCCTGCTCACATTGAAGCTGCTCGTGCTCTTGGAAGAGCCATGGCCGAGAACAATATTGACCTAGGTGAGTCACAACGAGAGGCGGTCCGACTGCAACCGATACCATCGCGGGCCGCCAATCGCCGACCTCCGGATATGACCCCATCATGGCTAACACCGGACAATAGTTTATGGAGGAGGAACTGTCGGACTTATGGGCGAGGTGGCAAAGAGCCTTTGCGCCGTCAATGGCCCTGAGTCTGTTCATGGTATCATTCCTGAGGCTCTGGTCAAGTTTGAACGAGATGGCACCTACGGAACTGTCAACGAACATAACCACATTGTGCCGGAGGAGTCTGTCTATGGTCGCACGACAGTCGTCAAGGATATGCATACTCGAAAGAAGCTCATGGCTGAGGAGGTTTTTGCTGGTGGTCCCGGCAGTGGCTTCATCGGCTTGAGTGGCGGATTTGGTACCATGGAGGAAATCTTTGAGACAACTACCTGGAACCAATTGGGAATCCATAACCGCGGCATTGTTCTACTTAACATCGAGGGCTACTGGGACGGTATCGTCCAGTGGATGGATCGCGCTTCTGAGGAAGGGTTTGTAAAGCCTGCCAACAAGAACATCCTGGTCAACGCCGATACTCCTGAAGGCGCAATCAAGGCTCTTCGCGAATACAAGGTTTCAGATGCCATCTATCAGCTTCAATGGGGCAGCCAGTAAGTGATTGGTTTGAGGCGCTGGATCTGGATCCGGGGTTGGATTTGGAAATCGGAACCAAACAGGTGTTTTAACGGTGTTTACGGATATTTCTTCGTTTCCGCATTTCTAGGATAGGATAGACTGGCGCTCCATAAATAGACGGACTGATGACCCAAACCACCTGCTTTGTTGTGACTGACCAGACGTGAGACCCATGAAAAGCTGTCTTTGCAGCATGTAATTGTACATGATCTATTTAGCTAGCAACCCGACGCCACGTGTATCCGCTTCATCATTCGTCACACGTTTAGCTGTCCACATCCATGCCCTCACCCTCGCCTTCCTCTGCACCTCCTTGACCCTCGCCAACGCTCTCGATCCATGGCTGTACCTCGAATCCATCGTAGAGCTTAAACGGCTCGACCTTCTTCTTGCCGTCCTTTGTGTTGATGCCCACTACACCGACTGAAAGGTTCTCTACTGTAAGCTCCTTGTCCTGAACCAAACTCTCCTTCAGAGCCTTGAGACCGTGCTTGACCAACTCCTCCCTTGAGCAGTCAGGGAACTCGTCGATGTTGCGCTCAAGGTATGTTCGAGCCATTTGACTTCGCGCGCCAATGGCAAACGCAAGCATCTCCTCTGTCATACCTGAGGGCTGGAACTCGAACAGGTGGGGACCGCGCTCGTCAACACCGGCAACTAGCAGACCAACACCATAAGGTCGCTTTCCGTACATTTGAGTGTTCATCTGGGCCTTCTCACCGATCATGTCGACAAGGGATCGGAGGGGAATGGCACGGCCGTAGGTGAGTCGGTGACCTAGACACTGCTGCTTCATGAAGTTGGAGAGGACGCGAGCATCGGAAGTAAGACCGGCGATGGCGATACCGGCATGTTCGTCGACAGTGAAAAGCTTCTTCTGGTAGGATGAGAGTTCCTCTGCGTTTCGCTACGAAGGTGCATGTTAGAAAAACTGACGCCGAAAGCTCCCGTATGGGACAAGAATGGGAAGGAGGGGCAGGGAGATGGTCGAACCTTGACAGCACATAGAACAGCATGGGTCTTGCTGGCGATACCGACGACGACTGAACCTTGCTTCACTGCCTCAGCAGCGTATTCGATCTGGAATATTCGGCCCTGGGGCGAGCTTGGGGAGAGTCAGCTTGCTCAAGGTGCCAGGATGGAGCTTACAGCTCAAGTGACGTACAAGGTAACGGAATCGTTATCGTAGTTGTTTCTGAACATGATGAATTATTAGCTGCTCTGGCAGCGCCGCGTAGAGTGTGATCGGTGAGATTGCGCGAAGCAAATACAGTTGTGCGTTGGGGGTTGCGATGGAGAGCTTCGTTGGGAGGTGGATTTTGGGTGGTCGTTGTTAGTATAGGTCGGGATGGAGTTGAAGGTGGTTGAGCACCAGGCAGCTCAAGCTTCGTAGCCTGTGTCGTTGCGCTGGGACCTGTAGTCTTCCATTCTGCCGTGGATGACCCGCCACACCGCCTGCTAAATTGGACAGCTTCATGATAGCATGGGTACATCTTTGAGGCTCTTGTTTTTTCCCTGCAAGGTTGTATAATATTTGTCTTATTGAATGTGATCTGATGGAAGCATGGCGAAACTCCATCTGAATTGTTATTATTAGAAGAATTGGGGGACAGAGTTTATTTGACTCGAATGCCCCGAAAGAATCGCAACTTCAGATGAGCACAACATGTGGAAAAGCTCCATGTTAGTTGCTGCAAGTTTTTGACCAGAAAAGCACTCTACGACTCTACGATGGTAGCAGTTGACGAGGTGCTTTGATTTGGAAGGCTAGTAGAAGCATGTATTTGCCATGTGAGCCAATTGCTGTAACTTGGGGCCATTACTAATGACGCAGTTCACCTAATGATGAAATTGATTCAACAGTTGAAGCATATTGGCTGTTAACGCCTGAAGACAGACAACTAATCCTTGCTATGAGCAAGCTCTATTGCGGATAATGGCCTGGAAAACAGGATGTCAACTAAATAGTCAGTCAGTTACTTGTTGTACTAATTTGGTGTTGAGGGGCCTCCGTTGTAAAGACATCTTGTTTTGAGACTTTGATGTTCTACTACTAGTGCAAGTAAATGCAGTTCTCAACAAATGTCCTCAAGGTACTGCTGCTCTTTGACTATACATGTTGGACTCATCAGGCGTGCCCGGGAAAGCATTTTCTGAGGCAATACACTTCGGAACACAGCAGCAATTGACACACCTTTTCATGGTCCGAACATGATTAGATAGGCTTGATTGATCGATGTATGTTCTAATATCTGCTGTGCCAGCCTAGTATAACCCCCAATTGGTGCGGAGCCACCACATTGATGGCCAGTTTAGCCTCAGCGAATAACGATTGCAGTTCACAGCCATCACGGTTCACCAATCTGTTGAATTATCGAGGATTTGAACAAGACCTGTCCAATCTCGACTGCTGTACATATACCCCTCACCTCTTCGGATTTGCTCTTGTCACACCAAGCTCATCTTCTCAGAGTCATACGTTGAATATCGGATCCCTTCTGTGGGCATTTCTATTGGATGACTCACGGTGACTTACAGTAAATACCCGCGACTTTTAGACAACTCCAGTTTTTATTCTCTCTCATATTCACTCTCTCCTCTCTCAACGCAACAACATCATGCCTTCCAGATCCGAGATCACATATTTTGGCGCAGGCCCGGCTCTGCTGCCCACAGACGTCCTTGAGAAGGCTGCCCAGGCCCTCATTGACTATGAGCATACCGGATTAGGTACAGCGAAAATCTCATAATTCATCGTCAACGTCACTAAACAAATAACAAGGTATTGCTGAGCACAGCCATCGCTCAGAGCTGGCTACAAACATCATCAACGAGGCCAAGGCTGATCTTGCCTCTTACATTGACATTCCCGAGGACTATGAGGTTCTTTTCATGCAGGGTGGTGGAAGTGGAGAGTTCTCCGCTACCTTGTACAACCTTGTCGGTGCATGGGTGGCAAAGAAGAAGGCCCAGATTGTTGCCAACCTCAAGGCTCCTGAGGACGACCCTCGCGTGGAGCAGGAGCTCAGGAATGCAGTCGAGAAGGAGCTCAAGACGGATTACATTGTCACTGGTGGCTGGTCTCAGAAGGCTTCTGAAGAAGCCAAGCGACTGCTTGGTCCTGAGCATGTCAACATTGTTGCTGACGCCCGCCAGATTAACGATGGCAAGTATGGCAAGATTCCTGAGGAGAGCACCTGGAACCTCTCCAAGGATGCTGCTTTGGTGTATTATTGCGACAACGAGACCGTCGATGGTGTAGAATTTCCTGCTTTCCCTCAGTCCTTGACCCCTGGAACTGACGGCGAGGGCCCTATTGTTGTGGCCGATATGTCCTCCAACATCCTGTCGAGGAGAATCCCTGTCCGAAACTTCTCAGTTATATTCTTCGGCGCCCAGAAGAACCTCGGCTGCACTGGTGTCACCGTTGTGATAATCAAGAAGAGCCTTCTCCCTCCCAAGACACCTCAGCCCCCTGCCGCGCTGCTTCGGCGACTCGGGCTTCCTATCCCTCCTATTATCTTCTCTTACGAGACTATCGCCAAGAATAACAGTCTCTACAATACCCTCAGCATCTTCGAGTAAGCGCTTCTATGGGGCACGTGTGGTACATGTACTGACTGGAATTAGTGTCTATATTGCCGGCCAAGTTCTCAAGAAGTCCCTTAGCACCTATAGCAAGGTCGAGGGACAGGAGGCCGTGTCCGCCAAGAAGGCTGAGCTTATCTACGGTGCTCTTGACGCTCACCCCGATGTGTATAGAGTTGTCCCTGACAAGTCTGTTCGTTCAAGAATGAACATCTGCTTCCGAGTTACCAAGAATGGCGACACTGATGGCACAGAGAAGGCTTTCCTCAAGGAGGCTACTGCGCAAGGTCTCACCGGCCTTAAGGGTCACCGAAGCGTTGGTGGCATTCGTGCCAGCAGCTACAACTCCATTCATTTGGAGGGTGCAGAAAAGCTTGCCAAGTTCATCGAGACGTTTGCTACCTCTTGAGAAGAAAACCAACCATGAAAAGTTTGAGCTGTATGGTTTGCGAATTTTATGGAATTGATCAGACGCGTGCACGACATCAAGGATAAAAGTCAACCTAGATGGATGTTGAATTCAACATGCTCCATGAGAATAAAGAATAAGAACTAAAATTAAAATGAATAAAGAGTAGTAAAAAGAGATTTGCTTAAACAGATTATCCTGATGACGATTCTCTAGGAACTTTATGTCAAACATCTACCCATTCTGATGGATGAGTTTCAGTGGATTAGTGAGTGCACTATCAGTTTGATACGATCAGTGGGCCCTGAGCGCTATAACCTGGACTCAACCTCAGGTTTCTCTCTTGTTTATGGATGTTTCCAAGTAGCAAAACTCAGCCAATGCTCATTTGTTTCTCCCAAATATAGCGTCTATCGCCTTCGTTCCAAGAATTCCAGATCATATAAAAGTTAGAACAAGTTTGACCATCTCACTATCACTCATTTCGCCGATGCTGAGACGCAGTCTCCTAAGGAGACTCAATTGCAAAGCGAAACGCTGTCGAGTCTTCCTATCGCCAATCTCTATAAGGAACTATAACGACGCCAATTTGACACAACCTTTGTGGTATTCTATTGCCTCGTCGACAAAGCCAATCTCACATCAGTCGTGGCATACTCATAACTCTGAATCTGTCTCCGGATTACCAATCATAGACGACACCATCTATGCTCTATCAACGGCACAGGGTCGGGCCGGTATTGCAGTAATTCGCATCTCCGGCCCATCATGTCTTGAGGTAGTGTCATGCAAATAATACATATACAGTATCTAACTTTTGGCTCAAGATTTACGAGGCACTTTGCCCATCAAAACCATTGCCAAAACCAAGATATGCAACAGTGCGGTCCCTATATGACCCCCGGCACACCAATAATGAACAGATAGTGTTGGACTCAGAAGCTCTTGTCCTTTACTTTCCTAGCCCCAAGACTGTCACTGGTGACGATGTCTTGGAGTTGCACGTTCATGGAGGATCAGCCACCGTAAAAGCTGTGTTAGCAGCCATTCCGAAATGTTCCGCTACACATCGTATTCGATACGCAGAGCCCGGCGAGTTTACGAAGCGCGCCTTTTTCAACGACCGCCTAGATCTTGCTCAAATTGAATCCCTGAGTGACACCCTGGCAGCTGAAACCGAACAGCAACGTCGTGCAGCTGTGCGAGGCAATTCAGGTGCTCTTGGACGACAATACGAGGCATGGAGAGAGCAGCTCTTGTTGGCTCGTGGTGAGATCGAAGCATTGATCGACTTTTCCGAAGACCAGCACTTCGACGAGTCCCAAGCTGAATTGTTACAGAATGTGACTGCGCAAGTTGCCAGGATGCTACACAGCATTGAGCTGCATGAGCAGGGAAGCCAAAGGAGCGAGCTTTTGCGGAACGGAATTCGTATAGCGCTGTTAGGGCCACCCAATGTTGGCAAGAGCTCGCTTATGAACCTGATCGTTGGGCGCGAGGCATCTATTGTGTCCGGTGAAGCAGGCACAACGCGAGATATCGTCGAGGCAAGCTTAGACATTCGCGGCTATTTATGTTCATTCGCAGATACGGCAGGATTTCGCTCCAAAGGTTCCCGGGTGATCAACGGGGCTGATAGTGGCGCAATTGGGGCCGTGGAGGAAGAAGGTATACGCCGAGCAAAACAACGAGCCCAGGACTCTGATCTTGTTATAGTCCTAGCATCCGTGGAGGACGGCCAGGATGGGCCATTTCTGCAATACGACCAAGAAACGCTCGATCTCGCTGCGGGGGCAGAGGACTGTGTCGTCGTTATCAATAAACAAGATGCAATTGAGAAGGAAGAATTTGAGAAACTGGTTCAGGATTTCAGAAAAACTGTTCGAATTCAAGCCCCCAAACTAGCGGCGGCGGAGTTCGTGTCCGTATCGTGTAAGGAGGCTCAGGCAGGAACATGGGAAAGCAAGGATCCTGGCGGTATCCAGGCTGTGATAACCAAACTCGTGGCATCCTTTGAGAAGATGACATCCATGCCTGTCGATCTTCAGGATCTGCTAGGCGTTACAGAGCGTCAGCGCCAGCTCCTCGTCAAGTGCCGTCAACACTTGGAGGACTTCATGACGGAGGCTGCCCCTGAAGAGGGCTTGGATGCCGATGCCGTGCTTGCTGCCGAGTATCTGAGGTACGCTGCGAACTGCCTTGCACGGATCACGGGTCGGGATGAGTTTGGAGATGTTGAGGATGTACTGGGTGTTATCTTTGAAAAGTAAGTTCTGACAAATTTATGTATGAGATGTCTGACAAGATGCTGATTTGAGACGTGTTAGATTCTGTGTGGGGAAATAAGCGTGTGGCGAAGAAGACTACAGCGATGAGAGATGGGTGAGAGAGTTGAAATGTATTTTCCATCGAGGAATGTTCTATAGAGAGCAGCTGGTCTAAACAAATTGAAAAAGACTCGAGGTTGGGCCGCCTGGGCCTGGTCTAGCAGGTTATGAAAAGAGAAAGCGAAGATAAATTTGAGATGAGAAGATGAGAAAGATAAAGCAAAAGGAAATCCATGCTGTATGCTCGCTTCTATGCCGTTCCATGCCATGCCAACGCTGTGTAATGCTATGCTTCCGTCTTTCCCAACTCCTCCCGCTATGCGATGCCGTGTCTGCAACTTGTTCCTCCAAATACCGATACCAATGCTGATGAAGAAGAAAACAAAACGAAACTCCGTTCCATGCAAATGTTGTTGAAACCAGTGTCTAAACAGAAAACTCCGCCCAATGCTTGCGCTGTCGCTGTGTATGCTTTTGGGAAAGTGACTCAAGAGTAACAAAGGAGTTTACTCCTCGTCATTGTCGCTGGGACCATTGTAGCCAGAGCGGCCCTTGTTGCCCTTGGAGGAATCATCGTCCTCAGGGCCATTGTAGCCAGAGCGACCAGAGTCTCCCTCCTCAGGCTCGTTGTAGCCAGATCGACCACGGTTGTTTGTGGGCTTGGAGTCAGAGTCGTCGCCGTCCTTGTTGTAGCCAGATCGGCCGAAGGATCGGGTAGTGGGAGCAAATGTGAGGGTGAAAGCAGCCATTGTGAATGTAGAATAGAGTAGAGTTAAGTGAGACTTTTGGGTCAAGATAGAAGTTGAGTTGAGTTGAAAGAGCTGAGCTGTTGTATATGAGTGTTGAGCTGTAGTATTGCTTTAGAGTTGTTGTAGAGTGTAGATGAAACTGGTTGTTGATGGTGATGAGAATTCTAATCCAGAGGAGAGGAGATGGACAGTTATATAGAAAGTGAGTCAACTATAGATCGAAGCCAAGGGTAGGTAACTAAGCACATCGCAGATAGGGAATCTCGGTAGACGGTGGAAGCGGCTGACTCTGACTGACGCCTGTTCGTTCGTTCGTTCGTGCTGTGTCGTCGTATCATGACGATCAAGCAAGCACACCCTTAGCATGGGGGCAACAAAATAGAAACACGCTACATAGCGTATCGTGCTAGGTAGATTACAGCAGTGCCCGTTATTCCGCCCTTGTCATGGATGGATGCCATGCTATGGATGCCATGGAACCTTCTTTCGCTTCCGTCAGTCTGCGCCATGTCGCCGATGCTGACAGGGGATCCATCAAAGCCGTGAGTGGTGGAGGACACCATCGTAGGGCTGAGGACAATGGGTTTATGAGGGACCGGACCTTGCAGTTACAGGGGTCCTTTGTCAAACGGTGTAAGTTAATAAGTAGCCACACCCACGGTACCCGGGGTAGGGGTCGGGTCGGGGTGCGGAAGACCCGGGCCGTATCCAGTCAAGTCGCTGCGTATTGTATTACTGAGTGAGTCTTTTGACTGCCCGTTCCATTGATGGGCTTACGGGGCTTGGGTAGGGTATACGTTATAATAGGTAAGCCACAGCCTCAAATGAACGAAGACCCCTGCCCATGTAATCAATCATGTATGCTCCACGGCTCTGGCCATGGACCTGGAGCAGCAGATGCAGAATAGATGCGATGTTTCGACCCCCAATAATGCCAATTGTTCAAGATAACAGACATGTCGATGAGTTTGGAGAGTTGGTGTGGAGACGGAGCTTAGATACGTAAGTACGCACCTCCAGGATACTGCATAGTAGGTATTCGTATTATCATTCCGCCCACAGATACTATTCCACACTCATGGCACCGTATCAACGTCAAGACAATTTGCGGATTTGCAACGCAGAAACGTCATCAAGGCTGACAAATGAGGCCGTGAGATTCCAACTCAATCAAAACTCCGACTACCTCTCGTAGGTTCGGAGTCAATCGTGGAGTTTAGGGGAGAGAGAGACACGGTACGGACGGAGTAGACAAAAGAGATTCCAATTAATCCCGGTTGAAATTCGTTGAATGTGCCAACGTGTTCTCGACTGCATGCGCGTCCCATATCGCAATAGGCGCAGAGAAGAAGCTTCCAAGGTGCAATTTCCCGTCACATGGGCACTCTTGATAAGTTTAAAGGGCTGCCTAAAAGACAAGACATTTACATGAGGCATCACGATAGCGAATAAGTCAGCAAACTGCACCGTTTATTCTGTCATCCCGCTTTGTCATCCCGCAAATGGCGGATGCAGCCACAGCAGCCATGACGCGACTTCCCCATTGGCATGCATCGGCCAAGCCCGTGTTTCCGCCTACCGAAGGAACAAACTGCCCCAGATTCCAGGGCCATCATCATCATCATCATCATCACCGAAGAGTCACCCTCTGCATATTCCGCCTTTCTTACTAAACACGAACTCTCTCTCTTATCATGACTCATCTTGCACCGTCAATTGATCATTGAAACCAACAAAAGAACCTTGTCAGGTTCCCGAGTATTGCAGTTACTCAATCGGTCTCGTGGGGGCAGAAGAATGAAACGTCACGTTCAAATCGAGACAACCTCAACTTACACCACGCGCACTCTATCATCCACACTCGCACTCGCACTCACACTAACCCTCACCCTCACACCCATGAGGTAATCGTCGAACAGCCCCTTCTGACCTTACCATCACTCGCACACTAGCCTATTGGGTGACCGGGACTCCTTCATTCCGGTCGGCACGGCATCTGGTCTTACCCGTCAGTCAGGTTCAGGTTCAGGCCCTTTCGCCGGCCAGCGCGGGCCCTCCCAATCCCTTGGGACCTAATTTCTGAGCATCCAACTCCTCGATATACTGAGACTCGACGGGGGTTCTCGATTCTCACTGAGATCTCTGGTACCGCTTCTCATTGGCCAGACCCCCAAGCAGCCATCATAAGCGCCCTGCTGTCAATGACCAACGAGCTAAAAGATCGAACCATTGACGCGTCCGCTCCCAAGAATCGCCAATGCTACGCTTGTTCTATCAATGGAAACATTTCGCGATCGAAAAAGTCACATTTCAATCACATCATGATGTCCGTCTGGTCTCGAATTCGTACAAACAGCCGCAATGGTACACCAACCTCACCCGCCGCATGCATATACCCTGGTCGACTTTAAGCGCCTTAAAAATAGAAACAACGCCGTTACTGGTCAATTGGCGCGCTGTCGCTTCATCTGACTGTTTTCGCTACGGTAGCTCGCTGCATAGCCCCGGACAGGCTCCAATTGATCCAATCACCAGGCTTAGACGATACACTCACCACCACGAGGCATTATCCAGGGAATCAGCCTTGCAACCTAGACCAGGCTCTTGTATTACTGTTTCTACCTAAGACCTAAGACATGAACCATGTTTCTGCCGTCTCGGCTACCTCTGAGACATTACGGATGTAGCTTTCCAGATCCTTGCCTGCTGTTTTGTTTCTGCTTACTCCCCTGAGCCATGTCTCGGGAAGGATTGCAACGCCTGTCAGGTGTATCGGAGGGTTCCCTTGGGCGTGGAAGCTCAAGTTCCACCAATACAGGTTGCAGCCTGTTCACGTTGAGGATATACACAATCTATCAACCCAACGCACTTCAAGCACTTCTGGGTATTTCTAAGAATGGTTGCATCTACGGATCTGCAGCTTATGTCTCGGCAGCTGCTTTCGTCCCGGAAGCAAGCCGGTAGGCCATGACTGGTAAACGGTGCAGAATCGTGACATTGCTAGAAACCCGCTGACGTTCATTTGACTAAACGCCAGCACCCTCTCTTTTTTCAACTTCATCGACAGCCTTCGGCCATTTGAATAAGTTCCGCCGACGCCACTAAGACGTTGACAGCCTGCCGATCCGTATGGCGCACATACCACAGTCACCGATCTGCATCCATTGAGCCATCACCAGGCAGGCACCAGGCATCAAATCACAGCCATCCGTCGCACAGAATCAATAAAACAGAGTTTGGAGGCTCTGTCCCTGAATTGCCTAATGTGGTAGAATGTTTCGATCCCTGTTCCCAGCCTCATAGCCCCCAAGCTTCGCAAGCCTGCATGGCTTGAGGATGCGGTACGAGCCGTGGGATTGTTTTACAGTGTATGTCTTGGCTGTGACTAACCATTGACCAATAGCCGGTATGTTTCAATTGGCATATCGCGATACACATAACACCTTTTCAAAGTAGTCCTACATTGCCTTGTTACATTCTTTCCTATTCACAGCTCGTCCTTGGCATGAGCCTCCTGACTAGGGTCTTCCATAGCCATGATCTTGACGACGAGACTAGTCCATCCAGTGAAGTGCTGTGTTCGCTGGCCGGCACCCGTGTCGGGGTTGTACTGCTCCCAGGCGAAGCCAGTTTCTTCCCAACTCTTGTACACGGTGTCAACAAGGTTCTTACGGAGACGCCTGAACAGATCCTTCGCTTTGCCTCTGTAGGGGCCCTCCTGCGAGACAACGTTCTATATGCACATGTTAGTCTTTGTACTACTTCGCCAAGGAGACATATGGGGGAAACCCTACCTGTAGTTGAGACAAAGCTAGGTAGTTGATAGGCATCCAAACAGGGCTGCGCCAGTAGTTCTCGCCCGTGGCGTAGAACTCATCCTGTTTACTCAAGCTGCGAATGCCGTGGGGGCTCCAGAGGTGCTCCTCGTCACCGATCAGCTCAAGAATCTTGCCCAGCTTGGGGTCGTCAGCCTTCATCAGGCCGACCAGGAAAGGGAACAGGGAAATGTAGCCCTTGTGGCATACGAGCGCGTGTTCCTCGTAATCATCGATTGTTGCGTCACAGTAGCAACCCTCCTTATCGGACCAGTGGAGATCATTGAGGTTGTGCTCGATGCCATCCAAGTTTTTCCTATACTCATTCACATCTTCGGCCATGCCGAGGGCATCTGCGATGTTCATCAATGACTTTGTCATCAGCCCAACCCAGGACATGAGATCAACGTGCAGCTCGCCCGGTGAAGGGGGCTGAGGTCGAGGATAGTCGTCCAGGCCACTGGTGAGGATGTGAGTCTCAGTACGACCCCTCCATCTGTATGCTTCCTTTGTTGAGTATGCCTCGCGGTCATAATTCTTTATGTCGCCGCGCTGGGTTTTGCGGAACCAGTCATATTGTTGTCTCAACAGGGGGTACAACTTTCGAAGGTAGTTCTCGCCGAGCTCGATGTTGTCGAGGTGAGCGGTTTGCAGAGGATCAGCCCCCAGAATGCGTTCCTTTGCCTCGCTCTTGGTTCCATTTGATGCACGAAGACGCTCCATGAAGCCCTCGATGATAAGGAAGAGGGTAGGGGGGTTGGCATAATGTGGGAATTGCACTTGAAATTCAGGGGGGACCTTACTCCTGGCCTCATGGCCTAGAATCTGTTCGCGAGCGATCCAGCCATCCTCGTCCATGGTGTTGTACCAGCTCTTAACAATTTCAAGTGTGAGGTCAATATCCCAATCGGCAATGGGAATTAGGTGAAATCCCTCATCCCACAGAAAACCACGGGGGAAGAAAGGGCGAGAAGGAACACTGGTGAAGAGCTCATAGGGGCCCTCGAGTTCTGGCTGTGTGCGTGCCTTGGCTTGCGCGGCCTCCTCCCAGAACCCGTCGTTCTGCTCCTCATACTCAGGCGCATACGATCGATCAATCAGCTGGTGACCATGGAAGTACCCTATGCCGCCGATGAGGTTGGACAGCATGCTCTTGCCGAATTTCTTGTATTTTGTCTCTGTGAAAGGTTCCTTAAGCTTGAAGGTGTTGGCGAAGCGCTCGTTGAAGATTTCTGAAGTCTTCTCGATCTGTTCAGTAACCTCCTCAGAAGTAAACTCCTTGCCTCCAGATCCCGATGAAAAGATGACATCGAACTCGAACGGCCCTTCAAAGGTCTTCTCGACCACATGGACGTTGCCTTTTCCAGGCGCATGGGCAATACGGTACACCTGCCACGGTGGAGGCGGATTCTCCTGGTCAGCATTCTGCTGCACGGGCGAAACGGCATCTTGAAGTTGCTTGAAGACAACGGGCTTGCCCTGCCAGGTAAGGTCGGCTGGGACTTCGGTACTCGAGACGATGGTCGTGTCGCCATGTCGATCTTCCAGGAACTTGTGGTCTGTTGAAGGGTGCTCTCCCGTACCTTTTGTGATAAGAAGCTTGTAGTCTCCTAGCGCCTTTGAACTGCCCTTGAGAGTAACATCATCTTCGAAACCATACTCTGTACCTTCACCCTCAACAGCAAGTTCGCCATCACCATCCTGAGCGATGTAGTAGAATAGCATAGTCCTGGTGTTTTTCAGAGCACCGTCTCGCAGCTCGCCCTTGATCCGGGCAGCCCAGCTGCCACCATGATTTCCACCGGGAATCTTGACAAAAGTAGTCGTCAAGTCGATATTGTTGGCCTTGTCGTGAATGGACTGCACACCGCCTATGCGGGCATCATACTCATCCCATCCGTAGCCATGCATATCTTCTCCCTGCTCGCAGGTATATCTGAAACCTTGAAGGCAAGTGTCAGAGCATTTGAATCACCAGGCTTGTTGTCTCACGTACCATTCTGAATATCATGGTAATTGTCGACCTTCCCCCACATGAGCCCTGTCCATAGGCTATCTGGTGTTCGTGGTCGCACACCAAAGTACAAATTGGATTTGTAGGGGCCCCAAAAGAGGCTCTGGTTATTTTGACGGCCGATTTCAGTCGTCAGCACTGAAGATGCATCTTCAGCGGCTGAGACGCCCACGGCGAGTGTCGCCGCAGACACCCAATGGGCAATTTTCACCATACTGACGATGAAAAGGGTTTCTCTCAAGTCTCTAGAAGAGAAGCTGAGATTAAGTTTTTTTATCGGAGCCAATCCTAAAGAATTCAGTTCCTCATTGGGTGAGTTTGTGTGAGGACAAGCTCCAGAGAACACGTAGGAGTAGCGAATTGATATGACGACGCAAGGCTGAGAGTTGGAGAACGATCCAGGGTCCACTAGAGCTCGGGCCAATGATAAAGCTTCACCAGCCACCGCCACTTAGAGTTCGAACCCTACTTAAAAGTATCTTGTTTCAGCCTTTCTCTTTCTAAGAACTTGTTGGATGCATTTTTGAACAACTTTATTCTTTCCCCCAACACTGTCAATATCTAAACATCATCAGCAATCTCTCAGAACCGGAGTCAGAATCTGCAAGACACACAATGGCAGACTCTAGGCGAAGCAGGCGACCCGATAGTCGTCAAATGTGGGACGAATCCGACAGACGCGATAGGCGTGGAGGACATAATAGGGACAACGACCGCGATCGCAGAGGATACAGGTCAAGATCACGCGAACGCCGTGGATACAGAGATCGATCGAGATCGCCAGACAGGAGACATCGAGACCGAGATGGTGATAGGAACCGACCTAGGGATAGAGGCCCACGCCATCATGATGATCGAGACAGGAGGGACGGACGGAGAGAGGATGCAGAGGATGCGCCACCAAGACAGAGACGAGATGAGCGTCGCGAAGATGATAGAGACAAGCGAAGTATGCACCCCCACCCATTTCAACGTTATGGAAATCTAACTTGCTAGCAGGCAAATCTCGTCGCTCAGCGTCACCACAATCACGAAGTCCTACTCACGAAGCACTTCCCACGCGCCCTCGCCCCGACGCAAAGCGCCCGGCACCAAACATGTCCTTCAACGTCGGCTCTCGCGCAAGCCGCTCACCACCGCCGCCATCACGCGCGCAGCGTGAAGAGGAAAGCAGCCGCTCAGAAGAGGGCCAGGCTTCAGAGGTTGAAGAGGATCCTGTGGACGCAGAGGACGACGATATGGCCGCTATGCAGGCCATGATGGGCTTCGGCGGGTTTGGAACAACCAAGAACAAGAAAGTTTCGGGCAACAATGCTGGTGGTGTGCACAAAGAGAAGAAGACGGAGTATCGTCAGTATATGAACAGGAACGGCGGATTCAACAGGCCTCTGAGTCCATCACGCTGAGCGTGCTGGCTATACGGCCGTCCATGCAGTACGAGCTACGATCTCCGCGAGGACAACTGGCACTTTTAAGGTTGTGCCGCAAAGGTAAACTGGATTGGCGTTTAGGTGGATTGGTTCTCCTGCCAAACGAGTGCAGAGGTATAATATTTATGTGGAACATCAAAGTTTACAGTATCTTGCATGTGTAATGCATTCTCAGCCCTCCTTTCTCGTTCTTCTGTCGCATTTCTCGCCTCGTCAATACATGTTCAGGGCTTAACTGCGACCATCTCAAGGCTGTGCTTATTTCAACTTTTACCACAAACTCCTCCATTTTCACGAGCCAGCACAAGCTTCCGCAGAATATATGCACCGGTCTCGCCATGGCTATCCTTGCGCCATTCTTGTCCTCTTTTGAAAGTGTCGTACTCAGCATAACAGCCATCCACATAGTCCTCACCATTTTGTGGAACTGGATATGTCGGCCTGCTACTCCAACACCAGAAGAGCTCATACGATCAAGACGCGAAAACCACAATGGTCGATTGGCCGTGAACAGAGTTATTGAAGCTGCCCCCCGGGCTGCTGGTGGCAAACACCCTTCCCATAGGCCTTGTCACAGCTGGTCGTGGTACGCTACGGCCTTGTGGCCAGCCCGTGGTGACCGTCTTCGCCATAAGCCTCGTCGCAAATGGTGGTGGTACATTTTGGCCCTGTGGCCAGCTCATGATGACCCAAATCGGTGGTTCATTATGATCGCGGCCGGGTCCATTAGTATACTCACCTTCATTTTCTTCTTACGAGAGATATTACCGGACATTTATCAGGGCCATGTTCGATTCTTTACAATCCTCTCGTTTCTGGCACTCGGAGTCGGACGCGCCGCCTATCTTTACCATCTCTTGAAAGACTGCTCTGTTCTGATTCAAGAAGTATGCATTGGTCTCATGGGTCATGTCACTGGTGGTTTCTGCCGCCTCGGCAGTCTATTCGCTGTTCCCCCGACGAACCATTGAACGAGGAGGGAGCGATAAGGAAAGTCGACGGAAACCTCGAATCATAATAAGAAGAAGCAATCTTGGGTGGAAGAGACTTCGGGACAGCGCACGCTGGACAACGCGGCTGAGGAGAGTTTGGGTTACAAGGTCAAGAATGAAAGGTCACAAGCACGGATATCTGACTGTCACTTGCGACCAGTACTGCAATATCAAGATCACCATGACACACAGATTTGTTCAAATACTCTCTCTTCCACTGTATGTGTTGGTGTAGACATTACGTATAGCGCGTGCAATACATACAAACGCGATCTTTCCACTCCTAAACAGTTCCCAACACCATTGGTATGCATCTCGAATCACAAACACCGCCCATCCATCTCATCCTCGTGCCTGTACCGTGCCATGCCATGCCTGTGCCTATGCCTGTGCCGTTTCCCCTTGTTCTTCTTCTGGGGCACCGTCGCTGGTAGTCGCTGCTCTAGGTGTTGGAACATCATCTTCTATAGGCGCTTCTTCTTCCTTCGGCGGCTCTTTGGCTGCCTCTCCTTCTTCTCCCTTTGGCTCTTCCCTGGGTTCCTCCTTTTGTTCGTCGGGGTTCTCTTCTGACTGGTTCGTAGTCGCCCTTTCTCTTCGCCGTCTTCGTAGCCTTCTCTCTTCCTCTGCTGTTTGCCGTCTGGCTTTTCGAAGGGTTTCTCTCCTCTCAGGATCGTTGTCATCTGCGCCATCACCACCGCGCATGCCCTGTAAAAGAGCTGCTGCTCTATCGGCAACGTCGTCTTCACCTTCACGAGGCGATGAGAGGCCGGGACTGAGCACCTTGCTTTCGTCTTCGGTGGGTTCCTCCTTGTTCTTGAGGCCAGCTTCCACTTCTGGGATTTCGTCGAGGTCGGGAATCTTCTGTCCTGACGCGACGCGGACCTGGTGACGATCCTTGAGTCGCGCACGCCTTCTTCGGTCTCTCTGGTCCCGAGCCTGCGGCGCAGCTGCACGTAGCTTCTCCAGGAGAGAGTCCATGGCGCCGGTATTGGATGGAGACGTAGGTCCCGCGTCGGCGTTGGCGTTGGTAAGTTTGAGTTGTGCTGTGTGCTTCCGTTTCATTGACGCCTCGTTACGCTTCCTTGTCTCTTCCACCTGCACGTTCTTGTCACGAGACTTCTTCCACTCTCCCACGAACAATGCCAACTTGGCAAAGAAATCTCGACGGGCCCCATCATCCGCGGGGTCCTCGCCGTAAAACACCATGATATCTTTGTATGTCTTCATCATCTCTTCCAAGTACAGCTCCATCTGTTCGGATTTTCTTCTGGCTTCCTTCATAATACGTTGGACGATTTGACTCACGCGGTCCTGGGGATGGAACTGCTTGGGGTCGCTTAGGTTACCAGAATCCAGCGACATTTGAATGTTTCGAATATTGTCGATGTATTTCTTCGCATCCGCCTGAAGTTGCTCAATGTTGATCTTCTGTGCCGTCATGACTCCGTTGATATCATCCGCAAATGTCTCCCACTCAGGGTACTGATTCCGTACAATACGCTCCACGAGATCGGCCAATGTTGACTCGTTCTTGTCGTCCTTGACCATACCCAATCTTGCAAGAGAGCTGAGCTTGAAACCACGTGCTTGCTTGTTCGCATCGTTCATGTAATTACCAATATCCAAAATAAGGCCAAGTACGTTCATCAATGAAACGGAATCACGTAGCGACTCCGATACTGTCACAACCTGTCGGATCTTCTCGTTGATCTCTTCGTACTCTTGTTCAAAGCTTCTAGTAAGAGCAAGGGCCCTCATTCGACTCTTCCAGTAGTGGTGTAACTCAAAAGCCGTGTAGAGGTAAAGCTGATCTTGTCGAGTGAGCTCCGACGGATCAAGTTCACGGTCTTGAGATTTGGCATCTGGTCCAGTCCAGTCCTTGCTGTACGGCGCCATTTGCTTGACTGTGTTGTCGGGGATGTTACAGAGGTCATCCTTCTGCAAAAAGTCCATCACTACAGTGTTGTCTAGAATCTCTGGATCGCAGTGAATGATCATTTGAACAATCTTTTCGACAGAGTACTGTGAAAACTTGGCAAACGCAATTTCTGTGCAGTGTTAGTAGACAAATCAATGGTGGATAAAGGGGTATACGCTTACCATACGCCTTGCGGAGATCAGAAGAGATGATTTGCTTCTTGTCATCCTTCTTAGAAGAGCTTCCTATACCAATCTTCTTGATCTCCTTAGCCATGAACAGTTTCTCGACCTCGTCGAGAATGCCCTTCTTGCTGAGCTCCTGATACTTCTCCTCTCGGGCTTCGGCAGAAGGTGTGTGGGCTGCCCAGTGACTGGTCTCAGGGGCATCGACCTTCTCCCAATGCAGGGCCTTAAGCTTCTTCTTGGGACGAACCACGGGCAGGCCAATGCTTGGTGCAGCCCCGAAAGCGGGTTGTCGGGCCAAGAAGTGTCCAGACACAGCACCAGGCAGAGGAGGTGGTGGTGGAGGGGGCATACCTCCAGCGCCAGGTAAAGGAGGCGGTGGTGGAGGGGGAGGAGGTCCACCACCGCCTCCTTTACCTGGCGCTGGAGG